GACCCCCCAAGAACATAGCTATGGCATTCCCTAATGACTAAGGCCCCCCCCCAGTCTCTGCTCTCTGAATACCAAAGGAGAGCCAGGCTCCTCTCAGAAGTATGGAAAACAAGATATCCAATCAGGATGACCCCTGTGTACCCCCTGGGTTCCCCTTCTTACTGTAGTCTAGCATCTGTCCTTGATCCCCAGAACACAGCTGTGAAGGGACCCTCCCCCCCCCGCCAGCCCCTCCACCTAACCCGGGATGCTCCTTTAAGAGCAAAGGGATGGGGGTGGCCTCAGTGAGACACTAGCCCCATCCTCTCCCTGGCAGGCCAGGTTTCCTGCCATTGACAGCAGCCCAGCTGGGCCCCCACCCGCCTCCCCCATTCTTAACCCTTTCACGCCCAGGCCACAGAGCACTGGCCTGTACCCCACCTGCATCAACAAAACTAGAAGGGACCATTTCACCGGATTAAATCTATGACTCAGGGTGTAAAGTAGCAAGAGCGGCCCTTAGCACATATAACTTTCTCAATAAAAGTCATCTGTTGGGGTGAAAGTGTAGCTCGGTCAGCGGAGGGCTTGTTTAGCATACACAGCACCTGGGTTCCACCCCCAGCATTGGACTGCGCAAAATCAGGCCTGGTTGCTTGTGCCTGTGATTCCAGCATTCTAGGAGTAAAGGGGATAGGAGGTTCAGAAGTTCGAGGTTAGCTTGGGCTACTTGAAACCCCGTCGCAAAACAAAGCAAACAGCTATTATTCCTCATGGTGTGAATTTGGGTAAGTAATTTCACTAGCTTGAGCCTCAGGCTCTTGAGCTCTCTCTCCGTGGGAAAAGTGACGAAACCTAGTCCCAAAGATCTGTCCTTGAAATGAGTGCGACAGCGGGCTGAAAAGCATTTTGCCAAATGCGGTAACACAATTCTGTTGTTATAGACAAAATAAATACCCCCTTCCCATCCTTCATAACAGTGGACAGGAAGCCGGGCGGTGGTGGCGCACGCCTTTAATCCCAGCACTTGGGAGGCAGAGGCAGGTGGATCTCCGTGAGTTCGAGACCAGCCTGGTCTACAGAGCTAGTTCCAGGACAGGCTCCAAAGCTACAGAGAAACCCTATCTCGAAAAACAAAAAAAAACAAAAAACAAAACAAACAAACAAACAAACAAACAAACAAAAAAATCCAGGGTCCCACATGAGGTCAGGGGCCAGGGGTGCGAAGGACCAGGTCCATGAACTGACCTTTGAACTCTGGGTGATGAAGGGTTCGCCTGTTGAGAGTGTAGGACTCCCATGGCAAGGGCTTTTCCAGGCTTCTTCTGGCAGGCTCCCCGGGTAGGAAGCCAGAGGAATCTCTTTCATCCCTCTCTTCCTAGCTAGCTCCGTTTACCACCGAGGTATGTGCGTCCCACAGTCTTCCCACCCCATCGCAGGCCTAGGTATTGTAATGACATCTTCTTGACAGGTGATGAGCCTTGGGTTCTAGGAAGGACCCTCGATCGTGCCAGAGAGACGGTGGGGACAGTGGAAAGAGAGGATTTGGGGGGTCTGCATGTGTCCCTCCGACTTTACTCATTTCCTCCCTCATGAAGTGGCATTGCTATTCCTGCTGAGCCCCATCTAGGTTCCATGGGAGGGGGCTCAAGGGTGATCAAGAACCGAGAAGGAAATGTGCCTTGCCAACATTAAAGTGTTCGCAGGGAGGGAGGGGTTTATGCTAAGTGGTTGGGCTGGTAGGGGGTGGGCACAACTGGGAGAGAAGCAAAGACAGAGCCAAGCCTTGGCCTTTGAACTCTAGTGCTAAGTTTGCCTACTGAGAAGGGTGTGACTCCTTTATGGCTAGGGCTTCCCCTTGAGATAAATAGTGTCTCTGCTGGACCACTAGGGATCCCCAGGTGGGAGGCCAAAGGATGGAGACTTAGATCTGGAAGGCGGCTTTCTTCACACCCTTCCCAGTTAGCGCCCTTCACCATCATCAGGGCTGGACCACGGAGTTCTTGCTCAATCCTCATGCTGAATCTTGCTGAGACAGGCTCTCCACACACCTGCAGCACCACTGCACCCACCTTTAGGAAGCACCCCGGGCTCACCTCTAGGAAGAGCAGGCTTGCCACACTCCAGTACCAGGATTAAAACAGGCCTCTACCTGCCAGAGGGGAAAAAGCAAACGGCATAGCACCCTATTCTGCCCTCCATTCTACATCAGAGCATCGAGACTTCAGAGGGAGCCTGCGGAGCAGAAGGTCTTGTTTGGGGCCACGGTACCTCAGCCCAAGTTTACGGTGCCTCCGTGACAGCCATGGAACCTGATGGAGCTTATCTGGCTATCTGTAAAGTTGCTGGACATGGCTCACAGGTCCTGCCGGCACCAAGACTGGCCAGGAAAGAGTTAATTGAGTCCGAGCTCCGGGTCCGGAAGGGTTAACCTAGGGGGTGGAGGCTTTTCGCTTTTCCTGTGGAGAGTAAGGCTTGGCTGCCACCAAAGTTACTCCCTAGTCCCTGCTGTCCCCTGGCCTTCTTCAGTCTGGGGATACAGAGGGACCCCTGCAACTCAGCGTCTCCACCCACAGGTGAGTGCATCTGGAGCTGGAGCGGAAGGCAGGTGAGGATGCAGGCCCAGAGGGCATGAGGACAGGAGGGTACTTGTGGGCTGATAGCAAGGAGGCTAGTGCCCAGCTACTGAACCCAGAAGCACAAATGTTGAAGCCTCTGAATGGACAGGGTTGCAGTTTCTACCTCAAGGACTGGAAGAGGGTAGGCAAAGGAACAGAGGGACAAGACTGGCTGCCAGTCTGGCATAGGCAGTCTGTGGTCAAACATCAAAGCCAGCCTAGAAACCAGGGACGAGGCAGGGGACAGTGGACTATTTTGGTCCTTGTGTTTAGGGACTTTTTATAGCCTCCTTGCTCAAGGCTAAAGAGAGAAGGAGGGGATAGAGGCCATCCATGAGGTCAGAGCAGCTCAGTGCCCTTGTGGGACCTTGGAATCTGACCCCGTTATAGTCCCTGAGGAAAGAGAGCAGGGCACAGGCTGTCACTGCTGCCTGGGTCTCAGTCACTCAGACTCTGGGCAGACTTGCCACAGACTGGAAGTGTAACAGGGATAGGCCGGGGTGGAGGGACCAGGGTCTGTGCTCTACAGCCTTCTTCACACATCCTTGCCCAGTCTCTTCCTTTTTGCCTCCAGGTCCGAGGTCCCTTCAGTCCCCAGAACCAATAAGTCTCTTTCAGCTGTATGGGAACAGGGAAGTGAAGGACAGGGGAGGGTGTGTTGGGCCATGTGGGTGGCCCATTCTGTTAGCTGACAAGGAAACTGTCGCTGTTGATTTACCGTCCCTCTTGCCCTCTTCCTGGAGCACAGGGGAGGTGGAGAAGGGTCGGAGGTCTCTGGATGGGAAGGGGGCAGGGACCCAGAGGGCAGATCTCTGAGCATGGAAGTTATTAGGCTGAATCAGTGGGGTGAACTGCTTTGCGAGACTAGAGGTTCCTGCTGGGCTTTACAGCAGCTGGAGGGACGATCTGACAGACAACCCAGGGTCCAGCTAGAGCTGCCCAATAAGGCAAGAAATCTGGGTCCCAGGGGACACCCTAGCTCTCAAAAGGACCCCTACAAACCCCTTCCTCTCTTGGCCATTGTCCTGGCTTCTGAAATCAAAGTGCAGGGGTTGGACGAGATGGTGTCTATGGTTAGATTTTTCTGGACTCCCCTTGGCATGGGGCATACAGTGGCTGGCAGTAGCAGACGGGTACGGTCTCCTTCCTGAATAACCCTGCTGGACCTGGGCGAGGAAGCTGGCAGCAGTTCCTAGGGACTCCTACCCTATGGTTAAGTCCCTGACCTCGGTGCTTGGGGGCGGGAAGGGTGGGTCGGCTGCAGCCAGCCTGTGGCTGCGGAACCTCCTTGTATTGGGCTTGAAGTTGCTCTGTTGGGAAGAGGTATTTTTTCCGGTTAAAGCCAATTTCGGGAACTGAGCTAGGACCCGCCTGATTTTCCTTCCCAAGTGTCCTGCTTGCTTGTCCCTTGCGCATGATCCAGTGGCCAGGTTGGAGCCTTCTCAAAGGGGCATAAATCCCCACCCCCCAAAGAATTAGCCAATGCCTCTTAAGGATTGGGGAAGGGTGAGTCTAGCGTCTGCTCCCTGGGCAAGACACCGGTTGATGGGGGAGGGGTGACTGAGATCCTCTACCCAGGAATGCCTGCAGGAGAAGGGCAGGGACAGCCTGCCCTCTTCCAGACAGTGCCTCTCTCCCTGCAGGCCCAGGAACTCCAGAGAATTGATTTCTGCTCCTCAGCTAATTGTGCATCCCAGGGTGTATGGAGCACTGACCTGCCAACTCCGCTAAGATGCTGCTGGCCTCTCCGTCCACACCATCGAGGGGACGAACCCCCAGCGCCGTAGAGAGACTGGAGGCCGACAAAGCCAAGTACGTCAAGACGCAGCAGGTGATAGTACGTCGTCAGGAGCCAGCCCTGCGAGGGGGGCCAGGACCGCTGACGCCACACCCTTGCAATGAGCTGGGGACCTCTGCATCGCCCAGGACGCCTGGGCCTGCCCGTCGGGGTAGCGGCAGGCGACAGCCAAGGCCTGACTCCCTCATCTTCTACCGCCAGAAGCGGGACTGCAAGGCTTCGGTGAACAAGGAGAACGCCAAGGGCCAGGGGCTAGTACGACGCCTCTTCCTGGGCACCCCCCGGGATGCTGTCCCGAGCAGCCCGGGACCTACTGAGAGACCTGCGGCTCCTGCAGGCTGGGCTGGATCCCCGGATGGTCCGGAGGCAACAGGGAAGAGAGCGCTGTGTCCCACGTGCTCGCTGCCTCTGTCGGAGAAGGAGCGCTTCTTCAACTACTGCGGTCTGGAGCGCGCGCTAGTGGAGGTGCTGGGCGCCGAGCGCTTCTCCCCGCAGAGCTGGGGCGCCGAGCACAGCCCGCAGGTCGCAACGTCGCCGCCGCCCGGCTCCGGGGACACCAGCGATTGGACATCCAGCGACGGGGACGCGGGCAACCCGGACTGTGCTGGAGGTTGTGGCGGGGGATCGGAGGCGGCGGGGTCCGCACGGGACGGGCGCCCCTCGGTGTCAGTGGTGGAACGCAACGCGCGCGTCATCCAGTGGTTGTATGGCTGCCAGCGAGCGCGCGCTCCACCGCGCGAGTCCGAGGTGTGAGCATCACGGCACAGGGGACGGCTCCCGGAGAGCTCGCCTCGTCCGTGAATAAACCCTTTCCCTAGATTTCGGTTTCCCCATCTGCACCCTGAGCAGGCGGGACCACAAGGGCCAGGCGCAGGCTGCGGAAAGGGGTGGGGTGGTCACGTAGCCTCTCTGGAGGCTGACTGTGAGCAGTGATGGAGTGGAGTGGGCGATGAGCGAACTACTGAATAAAGCTAAAATAATCTTTAGTAAAAGAGGCAGAGTTTAGTTTAGCGGGCAGAGGTGGGGAAAGGGAAGAACTGGTTGGCGTGGCCGAGTGGGTGGTTTAGAGTGTGGGTTCCAGGTTGAGTGTGACCTTGGCCAAACACTCCGCAGTTCTGGGTTATTAAAGGAGGTAGTTGGTAGTGTTCTGGAGTAGTTGTAATGCTCGTGCAAATGTGCCTGGAATATAAGCTGTAGCTTGCTTAAGTTACCCAGGATTCCTGGAGCTTCGCGCTCCCTCCTCTTCCCCATGGTCCCAAAGTAAGAAAAGCTGACATTTGGAGGGTCCGAAATGGAAATCATTAAAACTGGGGCACCTTTGGGTCAGGATTTTGGCATCTGTTACCTCCTGTATGCTCTCGCGCGCGCGTGTGTGTGTGGTGTGTGTGTGTGTGTGTTCCAGACCAGCCTCACCCTGCTAGCTACCACTGAGGTTCATGTGATAATTGGGGACCAAGCCCAGGGCTTCACGTAGCCCTCTAACAACGAAACTATACTCCCAGCAGAGTTCCTTTTCCCCCTCCAGAACACACAAGTCTCAGGTTTTCTTTACAGATTCTAGTCGAAGCCTTTGTTCAAGACCTCTGCCTTAGGTTTCCGTCCTTAACTCTGCATTCTTCAAAGATCACAGCCTCCTCCAGGAAACTTTCCTAAATTCCGAGTCTGCCTCATCCCCTCACCAGAAGCCCCATTTTGTTCCTCGACAAACCTTTGTCTGGGACCCGCTGGTAGAGAGCTACCTCGTCACTCCAGTTATTTTCATACATTTTGAAACCTATGTGCGCTATTGGGCCGTCTGCAGGGTTTGCTGAATGAAACGAAGCTGGACAGGGCAGTGGAGCAAGCCCTTTGGGGCTTTCTGGAAAGTTGTGTGTGCCTTAAATCTAAGGCCATCCTTACTGTCACCTGGATTGTCTCGGCTTTTCTGTCGGGAAAGAACCCTTTAGCTAGTCCCCGCCTGAGAACGTCCACCTAAAAGTATCCTTTCCTGTTGTCGGGGGAAAAAATTACATAGTCACATTGGTTGTAGATACAGGAGTTTTTTTTATGGGAGGTAGGGAAGGACGGGCGCCGGCTAGTCGCCCTTGGGCGCGGCCTTCACCCTCATCTCTGCCAGTTTGTGGGTGAGGAAACCCCACTTGAAGCCTGCGGCGGGATCCACCTCCCGCGTCTCGGGGCACTCCGTGGCCTCCTCTGCAGGCTTGTCCTGGGAATCCGCATCCCGCTCCGCGGTGGTTTCCACACCGCGCAGCATGGACGTGGCCTGCTGCTGCTGCCATCTGCTGGCGAAGGTGTCCCAGAATCCCGGCCCGCGCGACTCTGTTTCTACTGCCGACGCCTGCGAGGAAGGGGGTGCCGCCAGCGGACTGCAGGAGAGACGGGGGTCAGCGGGCTGGCCCGGAGTCCCGGAAGAAGACAGTGAGAAGGGACAAGTGAGATCAGGAAAGTCGGGGCAAGATCAGGGCAGGTAACCAAAGGGAGGATTCGAAGGCTCTGGGGGGGAAAGGTGAAGTGGGACAGGGTCTGGAGAGGTGGTGAGGAGAGGTGGTCTGGAGAGGTGAACTTGGGTGGAGCAGTCAGGATTCTGGAGAAGGAACTCTGGTGCAGAGAAAATAGGCTAACAGGGACAAGCTAGGTCTGGAAAGCCAGGGAGGGTCTGTAAGAGGGGAAGGGGCAGGGGAGAGAGTAGGGTGGGCTTGTTTGGGTCCCATACGAGGGACCCCACCCGGGGATGGGGAGGCGGGGAGAGCCAAATGAGCAAAGTGGTTAGGTTTAGGATTAGGGAAAGAGGAATTTGGCACGCGGGAGAAAGTGGAGGAAATCCGGGCACAGGTGCTTTGGGAAGAGAAGGTGGGACTGAAGTGGGGAAGGGCTTCAAGGAGGGATGATCATGCTTGAAGAAGAAGCCCTGCTTCTGGAAAAGTCCTCCCGGGACTGGGCAAGAAGGCAGAGGAGGTGGGGGGGGGTCCCTGAGGCAAGAGTAAAAGATGGGGTGGGGTGAGGGCTGTGCTTAGGGCTGAGGGAAAGGCAGTGACTGCCCTGGAGAGGAAACCCTAGGTCTGTTCTCAACATCCAAGACCTTTCTAAAGCAGTGCTTTCCAAACTGGTGTGCCTTGGGGTCCTCTGGGATCCTCCGGCCTCCATGTAAACCAAGCAAATCAGGAGAAGGAACCTATGTTCCTCTGAAGGGAGAGGGTTTACCACCTATACCACCCTTTGCTGCAACACGGAAAAAGGCCTCCTCTTGACCTGTCCTGAGGAAGAGGGAGGAGACACCCACGAGGAGTTCCCGTTACCTCAGTCCCAAGAGATCTAACCCATCTAACCTTACTGTATCCTGATAAGCGGATGGAGCCTGTGGGGTGATGAACATGGCAGAAAAGAGATCTTAGGACCCTTCCAGCCCACCCCCTAAAGCCACACACGTACTGATCGGCACGGGGCTCTGGTGGCAGCAGTTTGTCCTCGTCTTCTTTGTTAAACAGCGATGACATCGTCAGCCAACCTTTCACCCCAACCCCCTGAACCTGGGAGGGAAGAATGAGAGTCAAGAATGGATGCCCCACCAACCCCCCCCCGGGGCTTCACCATAGCCTCTCAGGCCCCCCAGGGTTGGGTGGAAGACTAGAGAACTCACCCTTCGGGCCAGCTGTGACATGGGGTTGACGGCCTCCTCCGGGGCTTCTGCTGTGTCCGACTCCACTAATGCTGGGTTCTCCCTCTGGGACACAAGACCCCCCAACATGAGAGAAACACCATTGCCAGACAGCGCACACACACTCCATGGTCTAAGTACAACAGACACACATACCCTCCTTTGTATCTTCAGTGGGGCACACGGCAATGCTCACAGGTATATTACGTAATGCTGCCTCCACTCATATACACGGGCCCGCATGGTAAATCTCTGCAGACACCCTTGAACACATACACTTTCCACACATACCCAAACACACTCACGAACTCGGACAAGGGCACACGATGCACACGACTACAGACACACACCTGTACGTGTGAGCATGCCTCTTTGTAGCTACACCTTTCCCTCTGTGTCCAGATGTGTGCGCTGTCAGGCACCCACACGAGGACTCTCGCGTGGTTAAACAATCCATCCTGTCTCTTATCCTCCTGCAGGCAGCTAGCTAGACCTGGCCTCTGCAGGGCACTCAATTCCTCTACCAATCAAGTGTAACACCTGCAAATGCCCACACGAACGCATACCGGTACAGAGTCCTGCTCAAAATGCATATCCACGAGAAGTCACTAATCCAGTTCACACATGTACTAAAGTCTCCACAGACACGTCCATAGCAACCCAGCCTCGGGCATCAGCCTGCCTAGGCATAGGCCTATCCACCTCCCAACCACGGGGCTAGGTCCTGCCCCAGCCACATCTCTTTGCCGTGACTGCTACTCATCACAGCTTCTGGATCTAAACTTCTAGTTTCAAGGTCCTTTTTGCCCTCCCCCTCAGAACTAAGTGTTGTCTAAGCATGGCTTTGGTGGAATGCCGCTTCTGTGGCCCGCAGAGCGTAAGAGCTATTACTCCCTGCTCCCGCAAGCAGGAGCGCATTACCTCTCCTGGCAAGCCGTCTCGCTTCTGCTCAGCCTCGTCCACCAGAAAGCTGTGCTGAGCTTAACGCACTGTTGTGGCTCCTGCCAAGTGTCATCAGAACAAGCTTTATCCCGTGGCAGTTCATGAGCGCCTTGGAGCCCGTGACTCCTCTCCTGGCCCCAGCTCCCCCTTTCTTCTGTTCTTGACTGTCTCTGTCATTTCCCTGTGCTGTGTGTAATCCTGGAATGTGCCTACAGTCTTTACAGAAATGAATCTATCTTCCTTCCTAGTTTAATACTTCCCTACTTTGCTGTCTCTCTGTTCTAGAAACCATGGCCGGTACCCACCTCCTCTGCCAGGTCCTCTTCAGATTCTCCACCCAGAGTCTGCAGCACTTTGGACTTGTAAGCTTTCCAGAAGGCTTGGTTCATGGCTGCAGCGGAGAGGGGCCGACCCAGGCACAGAAGGTGGTAGCTCAGTGGGCACCAGTGAGTCTGGCTCCAGAAACTTGGAGGAACCAAGAGTCTGTCCCAGGGATCCGATGACTTCATGAAAGATGCACCATTCTCCCTGGGTGGCACAGTGCCAAGCAGGTAAACCCGATCCCAGTGATTCTGAGGTTGGGACGGGCAGAAGCCGCCTCAGCCCCTTGCCTTGACCCATATTGGCCAAAGTTAATGAAGACAGCCCTTCGGAGAGTCCATTTTCCTGCACTTAGGAATACTGGTGGTTGTTCTTCTCTTAGAATAGCTGCAGGAAAAGTTTTCCACGCAAACTCTTGAGTCCAGGACCCATATGCTTGCATCCTATGACTGTGGACATACTAGCCATGTGTGCCTTCCTCATGGCCCAGCCCTGTCTCCCTCAGCCCTTGTGCGCTGGAGTGGGCAGGCCCCAGGCCTCCAGTCTGCACTCTGGGCTTCCATTTCACTGCTCTGTCTGGCCTAGAAACCTGTTCTCCCCAGGGACGCACGTGCCTGTCTCCCTGTTTCCTGGCAACTGGTTCCAAAGAGCAGGAACCCTGAATTATTGCTGAGATCCTCTGCCCCCAGACCGTGGAGCTGGCTCTGACCAACCTGGGCGGCACCAGGCCAGGCTCCCTGGCCCTCTCCCTTCTCTAAGCACACACTTCTTGGTTTTTCCCCGGTTCCCTACCAGTACTCCCCTGGGAGCCTGGTAGAGAAAGAAAGCAGAGATGGAGGTTTTTTCTACAGATATTTCCTCTTGGACTGGGGATGTAGCCCACCTTTTAGACCGCCTGCCTAGCATCTACGAGGCCCTGGGTTTCATCCACAGTACTGAAAACCCAGCCAACAGATCACAACCAGAAGCTGTCAGAACCCCCCAGGGCTAGAGTCTCTGGGAAACAATTCCACCCTTTATCCCATATATCTGTATGGGAGTGGAAGACAGAAGTGACACAGACTCAAGAAAATAACGGGGAGAGGTGAGAAGGGGCCCTTTGTTAGAGCCTAGGGGTATCACCGGGTGCTCCATCCATGATTCCAAACTTATTCTCATTCACGAAATACTTTATTCATGGCACAAACACCAGTGTTTTCTGGAGACGTTGAAAGTATGCTTTACAGCTGAAATCCGAGGTGTGGAAACCGGGAAGTGATGATGGCTCTGGCAGAATAGCAGGATCCACTAACCCCAGGCCCGCCTCTGCCCCGCAAGAGCCTAGTCACTACCAACTACGACCACATGGGGGCGCTCAAGTCACCAGCCCGCTCTGACGTCATCACAGGCGGTCCGGGCAGTCCTGCTCCGTCCCTGGGCGGACCTCTCGTGACGTCATTGGGCGGCCCGGAAGCGGCAGCACGTGTGTATCTTTCCGTACTACCCTGCTCCTCGGCTTTGGTGTCACTAATCATGGGTCGCTCCCGCCGGACCGGCGCGCACCGAGCACATTCCTTAGCCCGCCAGATGAAGACCAAGAAGGGGCGGCCGGACCTGGATGAGATTCACCGTGAGCTGAGGCCGCAGGGCCTCCCGCGGGCCAAGCTGGAGCTGGACACCGAGCCCGACCCGGATCTGCCAGGGGGCGGCCTGCATCGCTGTTTGGCCTGCGCGTGAGTCCAGGCCGGGGCCGAGCAGGGTCTGAGATACCAGCCCAAAGCGGGGAAGTCCGGGCGGCGAGCCGGGCGGGGTCTCCAGTCTTGGGACCCGTGGGTCTCTTCGCGCTCGGAATCTGTCCGGGAACGAGCTGGGGCCAGGGAGGTAGGCATACTTGAAAAGCCTCACCTCTTTACTCTTATACCCTCGCCCTACATTCCTGCAGGAGGTACTTCATCGATTCTGCCAACCTGAAGACCCATTTCCGATCCAAAGACCACAAGAAGAGGTACGAAGGGATCAGGAGAGGGTTGGTGGACGGTGCCATGCAGGTAGGTCTTGCACCCGATCAACTCCAAACTCTTCTTCCTTCTCCCAGGCTGAAGCAGCTGAGCATCGAACCCTACAGTCAGGAAGAGGCAGAGAGGGCAGCGGGCATGGGCTCCTATGTGCCCCCCCAGCGCCTGGGCGTGCCCACAGAAGTGTCCACTGAGATCCCGGAAATGGACACATCCACCTGAGGGGCCTTTGGATGCAGGGCAGAGAAACTCCATGGACAGTGAGTGGTTCAGCGGCTAGACTGAGGGTTTGGGGGAGAAGATCTCTTCTGGATGTTCTACTCAAAATAAAGGACCCGGACAAGAGGGTGTACCTCCGATTCTAACTTCCCTACCAGTCCTCCAGATTCCAGCCCTCAAGGGTTTCTGAACCGAGATGTCTATTCCCTACCGGGTCCAGCTTTGGAAGGTACCCCCGCCTGCCTTCTTTGAATTTGGGCTGGAGTCCAGGTGCAGTGTAAAACTGGGGAATAGGATAAGTTTTTTTTCTGTGTTTCTGGCGATGGTGGAGACTGATCCCAAAGGGGAAAAACGTGGTTTTCTGAGCTTGCAGCCCTCTCCCCTCGGTCACCTACCTCCGAGCCTAGGTGAGAGAGGCCGCCTGCTTCATCACGGGGCCTGTGATGGTTGCCGCAGCTTCACCATCTTCCACACGGCATAGCAGGAGCCGCCTAACCCGAGGACAGCCAACATCGTAGCCACAATCCCAACCAGCGGACTCCGGGGCTCTGCCTTCAGCTCCCCAGCCACCTGCATCTGCAGAGGGTGAACGCGAAATGCCAACTGAGACTTCTAGGAAGGAAGGGGATAAAATGGTGCTGCTGGGTGGAGAAGATACGGACGCCATTTCTGCCCCAGGGAGATTCCACTCCAATCCCTCTCGCCTCACAGCCCATCTGGGTCCTGGCTAGTCAGGCAGCAGGGAACGTGACAGTCTGGCCATTGGGGGTATCAGCCCCGTCATGAGACCGGGAGAAAGAGGTTGGTGGTGCAGAGCTAGTATTTAGAGGTTCTTACCTGTAGCACCCGGAAGTAGCCAGGGGTCAGGCGGCGAAATCTCATAGTGGGGGGCACTGGTCTCCCTGTCAGCCTCTGGAGTGGGAGCAGAAATGACGAAATGCTGCGCGGGGTATCCCAAGAGGTGGAAATCGGGGCATCGGGGTCCCTGGCCTGTTTTGCCTGGGCACTATGCGCTCAGGATGCTCACCACCGCTGGCTCGCCCCAGGTCTGGCAGGGGCGGGGCAGCTGGATCTTTAAATCTGGTCCCTTCCCCCCTGCCTTGCCAGCCTTAGGAGCAGCTGTCAGGAGAGATCAGCATCAGGCCTGAGTAGCAGCTCCTCCCCCATTCGCCAGAGGCCAGGCCAGGCATGGAAGCAAAGCCTTGGCTGCCAGTGCCCAGGAATCCAGGCAACCAGATTCTGGGCAGGCTTCCTCAGCCCTGGTCTGGACCGTACCCCTACCTCGGAGAAGTCGATGCTACCAGTCAGCATTCAGCAGAAGAATGACGTGTTAGCCACTTTTCCATCTGGGTTCTGTAAATTCAACCACCTAGGAGGGAGATGTCACTTCACCTTCCCCACAAGATGGAGTTTCCACAAGCACTTCTCTTGTGTGGGCTTTGAAAGAGATCTGCTTATGCAGATAAAATGGTCCATAATGGCCAGGCGGTGGTGGCACACGCCTGTAATCCCAGCACTCGGGAGGCAGAGACAGGCCGATCTCTGAGTTTGAGGCCAGCCTGGTCTACAAGAGCTAGTTCCAGGACAGCTAGAGCTGTTACACAGAGAAACCCTGTCCTGAAAAAACAAAACAAAAATTGTCCATAATGTGTTAAAATTTTAATTGTGTCTATTTGTGTGTGTGTTCCTATACACGTGTGTGGTAGTGTAGACATGGAGGTCAAAGGACAACTTAAGGGGTTCTCTCCACATGTGGGCCCTGGGAGTCCAGTTCAGCTCATCAGGCTCAGCAGCAAATGCCTTTACCCACAGAGCCTTTCTGACAGCCTACATAACGTATTAAAAGATTAACTGAGGGACTGGAGAGATGGCTCAGAGGTTAGGAGCGCTGACTGTTCTTCCAAAGGTCCTGGGTTCAAATCCCAGCAACCACATGGTGGCTCACAACCATCTGTAATGAGATCTAGTGCCCTCTTCTGGCCTGCAGGCATACATGGAGGCTGAACACTATGTATAAAATAAATAAAACTTTAAAAGATTAACTGATTAAGATATAGTCTATGTGTCATTGTTCTAAGCAAAGATTATCTGCCCAAGGAATCTGAGGGCTAAGAGTGTGGCCCAGTGACTGAGTGCCATTTGTTGAAATAGGAGCGGTTGGGCTGCGTCCCCAGCACCCCAGCCGCCTGGCTAGCTTATGCCCGAAATAACAACACACAAACTGTATTCTTTTAAACACTGCTTGCCCATTATATCCAGCCTCTTCTCGGCTAACTCTCACACCTGGATTAGCCCATTTCTAATAATCTGTGTAAGCACCCCAAGATGTGCTTACCAAGAAGATTCTAGCCTATGTCCATCCTGGGTCGGAGCTGGGTCACTTGCAGGCTCTGGAATTGATCCTCAGCATCACAAAAAAGCGATAAAAACTAGCTGGGCATGGTGGTACAAGTCCGTAATTCCAGCACTTGGAGGTAGAGGTAGGATGATCCCCGTGAATTGGAGACTAGCCTGGTCTACATAGTTCCAGAACAGCCAGGTATATAAAGAGAGACTGTCTCAAAAACAAAAAGAGACAAATAGTACAGAGAAGACAGATGAAACTCAGAGTTCAAACCTGTCAATGTGTGAAGCCCTGCACTTCCATCCCCAGCACCCCATAAACCAAATGTAGCATCTCATGTCTGCAACCCCAGGACCCAGTAGAAGGATCATTAGGTTAAGATCATCCTCTGATATATAGGGAAATTCAGGCCCTTCTGGGATTCCTAAGACTGAAAAGCAGAGAAACAGCGTAGAACTATTTCTAACTATGGTGGCCCTTAGCCCACTCTTGACTACACTGATGGCATTTTTCGTCTCAGGCCTGTCACATAGCCACCATTACTGAGGTAGACTTCTGTGTCTAGCACTGTTGGGGGCATCCTCAACAAAAATACCTTTCTCCAGAGTGGAGGCATGGGGATTTAGACATAGTAAAGAATATGAAGACACAAATGAAAATAAAACGCAGAAACATAGGATAGTATCGGGAGGGAATTTCAGTGAGTACTGAAAATTCGCCAACGTTTAATTTCCAACTGGTTAATATACCCCTGGCCTTAAAAGGTAGGAGTAAAACAAAAGACTGCATTAACATACAAATTGAAAGTCACGGGATATATATATATATACATATATATGTGTATATGTGTGTGTGTATA